CCGCCGCCCTCGCCCGCGAGGGGCGCGCAGGTGTTTCCTCCCGGCTCCGCTGTAATTAGCTCAGGCGTTCCTTCCTCTTCGGGCTTTTGATGGCTGTCGAGCCCCGCGTTACCCGCAAGCTCCTCCTCACTGTCCGCACTTTCATCGCTGTCGCGCTCTCCGTCGCTGTCGAGGTCCTCGCTACCGAGGTCGTCGTCGCTGTCTAGCAGCTGTGAGGCACAGCTCCTTCTAGTCCGCCTCCAGTCGACTCGCGATTTCTGCGCAGGCTCCTGAGTTTTAGAATTTCTCCTTGTTGCACGTACCATTTTCACTTAAGCTTCTACAAAATAAAGTTATTAGGAATAGAATGACAACCAGCCTGCAATAATGAATGCATTTATGGTACAAACTATATTTATTAGGTATTATAAAATGGTTCTCAAAGATAGCATCACATGAACTATCCGAGTGAAGATGGCAGAACAGTTATTCAACAATTTATTAAACATCCATGAAATCATATGAACATCTATTCTGATTTATGCTATATGTTTTGCTGGAAGAGACACATGGTCCTGTTCTTCAGAAGATTATTAGCCATGTGTAGAACTAAAACATGTAAACACATAAGAAAAATGCAAGGCAGTATTAATTCAGTATCAAGTGAATGATAAAAATAACCGATAAAAGTGTAAAAATGCAGAAAGATCAGAACAGCAAGTGCTTCACTGAAGATTTTATTGACCAGACAGGATCTGATAGTCTTGTAAAGGATTGGTTATATGTAAACAAAAAGAATGAAAGTGATTTCAGGCAGATAAAAATGGTAAGGTCAAACTTTGGGACTGAGAAAGAACATAAGTTTAGTAAATAAATGTGACCAAAAGGTGTGAAAAAAGGCTTTATGCTGGAAAAAAGACACAAGTATAGAAAAGTAGGGTGGGATTACCAGAATGATTCATCCTAAAAGCAAATAAGAATTCTGAACAGAGAAATGACATGACTTATAACATGAAGAATAAATTTATATGAAGAAAGTTATAAGGTAGTAATTGACATAAAAATGGTAGTGACGCAAAGCTGAGAGATAACCTATCCACTAAGATTGCAGCCTCTATATAATTTAGAACATGGCGATGGCTTTAAACCACTCAAAGTTAAAGATACAATATAATACAACAGAAAACTTACTAATAATCCAATAATGTAGTCAGGTGTAAAAAAAAAAGTTTCATGGCAAAGCAGAGCATGGTACTGGGAAAGAAAAACAAATGCTGTACGTTTCTGATTCAGGAAAGGATGAGCTCCATTAAAATGATCAGAAGCACAGAGTAAAGGAACACTTAGAGACAAGATAACTAGAAAAACAGTAACACAGTAGCACATATACACTCCTGTGGTTGCTAAGAAAACTAGAAATGTCACAATGTAATGAGACTGACCTCATAATACATGTATAAGAGCTTATGTATTCAACTGAGTGCTATCTCCTTCAAATCACTTTATGAGGCTGATTACCCCAATATTTCCACCATGGCACAAAATATTCCTGGGGATTTTCAATAAACCATAGTATCAAAAATATATATAAAAATATGAAAATAATCTCACTTCATTTTTTATCTCAAAGAGTGGTTTAAATATAGACTTTATTCTCTTGTCTCAGTTATAAGAGACTGTGTGAGTAGCTTAAAGAAATTAAATCCAATTTCAAAGGATGAAGGTTAACTACCATTAAAGATATTTTTAAAATGTGCTGCAAACTCTGAAGGTAACTTCAAAAAAATTTTATGAGCAATGGCAATATTACTGAACCAAGTTTATAGCTTCCCAAAATGATTACTTTTTGGGGGGTGGGGGGAATATCCATTCATTTGATTGTACAAATTCTGGTTGTTTATAAGGTAATGTCACTACTCCTATAATGGTAACTACTCATATAAAATCAGAACAATGGTTGTTAAGATTTACACCAAAAATTATAGTGTAGGCTGAAGTCCGACCTTATCATAGTAACCCCTAGAAGATATATTCAGCACTGTAACAGCAATTTAATAAATCCTAGTAAAAAGACAAAATATTCTATCTGAAATTACACTTGGGTTGTATCTTACAGAAGGCTTATATTAAACTCAGCAAAGAAGGAAACTGTGTATGGTTAAAATTACCCTTTAAAAAATACATTTCTCTTTAAAGTGTTTTTTTTGTATACTGTACTGCTTCAAAATATGTCCGCCCAGTTTCTCCTCCACATTTTAAACAGATTACTGTTTTTCCTTTTTATTAAGCACCAGATAAATCAGGCAGGTTGTATTTTGAAGCCATGTAGTACAAAGGAGTATTTTTTAAGCACATATAGTTAAAGTTGCATAAACTAAGTGGGTATGTGCTTTACACTGTACTGTGAAGGTAAGGTTGTTAATAAATATGAACTGGGAGAAATAATGAAAAAAATTATAAAAACAAATGACAAACATGGCTTCAGTAGATACACTAAAGCAAGTATGAACAGTAGAAATACGGAAGTGAAAGATTTTATTAGTACTCAAAAGCAGTTTCATAGACACTAGATGATTATCTTACAAAACTGTATCACGCTTGATCATATCAACAGGTGATTCCTGAGACAATGGTAAAAGGATTAACAATGTCTCTCTATAAAATTACCAATGACTGCATAGTTCAGCTTTTTAAAAAAACCCTATCTGTATAGTAATTTCGCAGTGCATTTTCATGTATACTTTAAAGTCTTGACAATAATCCTAAAAGGAAGGTATTATCTATATTTATAAAAATCAAAGCCAAGGATATGGAGTTTAAATGACTTACCCAAGATCACACAGCTTGTTAAGCACGAGGTGGGATTGGAAACCAGGTCTCCTGATTCCCAGTCCAGTGCTACACAATGACTGCTGCTAATATTGTGTTTGTATAAGGTAGTAAAAATCATTGTTTTATCTCTCATTCATGCTAAATTTTAGTTTCAGACAATAATCATTAAAATAGTTTTAAAGTTTACAAACATGCTTCTTTAATTACGTAACTGAATATTAGTGCACATGGGTTAGGCCAGAAACTTCTGAAAATTAGTTATCCAACAGGAAAGAAAAGAATGTACTAAAGAGATGAAAATTAGCAGACTTCTACCATCAGAGCACTGATTATACTGAGCACAAAATTTAAATTAGGTCAAAAAGTAAAAGTTTCAAAAAAAGGCAGTTTCTTATGAGAAAAAAAATTTATATTGGAAAACTTTAGTGTTAAATGTTTGAGGAAGCACATTTTATTTAATTAAAGTAAATCAAATTTCATTTGGCCAACTGGCAAATTTCCAAGGTCTCTCTCATATTTCAAAATTACCATTTATATCAATAATGTAAAAACTGCTGTCACTGAAAAAGAAGATAATTTGAGTATGATTGGGCTCCTCCTTTTTAAATTATGGATACTTTCACTACATTAGCTGGCGGGCGGGGGTGGGGGTGGAGTGAAAGCATGAGGACAGAGGGAAGAGGGAGTGAACTGAACCTGATAGACATGAGAAGGTAAAAGCTTCGTTAGAATTAAACAAGAATCCATGCAAACGGATGTAATTTCCATATACGCTGAGTATACACTCAATTTCTCGAAATGAGAATTTAATGAAGCTTCTCTAATGACATCTCTAAGCATCAAGAAAAAGAGACTCCAAACAGAAAGCATTAAATAAGTGAATGAAGACGATCAATATTATCATCACACCTTTGCGCTTCTTGGTTAGTATCTTGTAAGACGCACATACGCAGCTAAGCTGACTGCCAGAGAATGTAAAGGCAATAATCCATATTGCTTGTGTTCCTTCTCTAACACAGTAACCATACAACAAACGAAGGATACTTGACTGCCACTTGCATTTCTCATCAGGAGAAATATCCTTTCTTCTAGGCTTCGAGGTAAATTAATCCGCAAGAAAAGATTCATTCTAGGAATCACCTACTTGCCCTAGAAACAACGTAGGCGGCAACTAAGATGTGAAGCGCCGTGAAACCCCAGCCACTACTTGAAATTCCACCAGGAGGAGGGATACAACCCTATTTGTAAAACATCAACCCTCCTTGATGTTCGCTTTTATATGACAGTTTAAAAGGGAAACTTTAATGAGCCAAATAAATAGTTGTTTAATATATTCTATGTGCCAGCACACGCACGGGGCTGTGGCATTGCTGGAAGAAATCAACAACGGGGTCTCTGCTCCCAAGGAGCTCGCATTCTGATGAAATTACTAGAGACGTCAAACCGGGTCAGCGTAATACATGATTGAAAGGCTACAGAGAATAAACTGATCACAGTTCTTCCACTGGCTGGGAAAACAGGCAGCACACGACAGAATAGGAAATAGAAAAATATGAAGAAATACATAAAAGGCAGGAGAGCCAATTTCCCCGCGACTTATCATCACGGTCCAATACTCCACAATTTCGCAGAGTGGGTCCTGCCCGTTTGGCGTCCCGGACAAACTACAGTAATCATTAAAATCTGAAAGGCTGGCGGCGGCTCGCTAAACCCCGCACGGAGGAGTGGCAGGAGGGGGGCCAGATTCTCTCCGGACGGAGCGGCGCAGTCATTCTCAGGGTTACAAACCTGGTTCTCAGGCGGGACTCCCGCAGGCACCGGCGCAGCTCGCCCGCCCGCCCGCGGGTCCGCTACTCTGCCTCCAGGAGGGCGGAGCCCCGTAGCTAGGAAACGGGACCCGCAGACCCCCCGCTCAGTGACGCGAGCCGGACGAAACAAACCCCTAGACCTTAGCGCAGCTCCGCACTCAGAAAACAAACATGGGTCCGCAAAGGCCAGAAGCCCGCGAAGTCGCCTCTAAGTCCCCGTATCAACCCCGCCCACTTCCCCGCCGCGGGAGGAACTCGCACCCCACCCACTGTAGCGCATCCCCGCGAGTGCACGGGCCCAGGGGCGTTCCGCCCACCCCGAGCGCGGCCGCGGGAACTCCTCTCCGCGCCCGCCGGGAGGCGCGGCCCCGCCCGCCCCTCTCGTAAACCAGCAGCAGCCGGAGTCGGAGCCCGAGCCAGACCCCGCACCGAGCTGGCCCGCGCCGCCCCT